TACTAATAATATAATATATAATAATAATAATAATATGTAATGATAATATATAATAATAACAATAATTAATAATAATAATAAGAATAATTATAATTATAATAATTATAATAATAATAATAATAATAATAGAATATAAAAAATTATAATATACTAATAATAATATATAATAATAATAATAATAATAATAATTATATAATAATCATAATAATAATAATAATAATAATAATAATAATAATAATAAAATTATAATAATAATAATAATAATAATAATAATAATATAATAATAAACGTTGACAAGAAAGCGTCAAACTATTGGCTTACCTCAGGCCAAATGTTCCCTGAGACTGAGGGATTCCTTGTAGCTATACAGGACCAGGTCATCCCTACCAACAATTACAAGAGGTTCATACTTAAGAACGTGCAACAGTCTGATAAATGCAGGTACGGCTGTCAGGACTCCGAAACAATACAGCACGTAACTGGTGGATGCCAAGCATTCGCTCCAACGGACTATAAGGAGCGCCACGACATAGCTGCCAAAATCATTCACCAGGAGTTGGCATACAAATTCAAAACTGATCGAATGCAAGCTACAGTACTACAAATATACCCCGCAATGTGTCCTCGAGAACGACAAGTATAAAACTATACTGGGATCGCACTGTGCTTACCGACCATAGATAAAACAAAACAGACCTGACATAATCATTGTCGACAAGGGCGCCCAGAAAGTAACACTGATTGATGTGGCCATACCTATAGTAACAATTTAACATACAAACATAATGAGAAAGTTGCAAAATACAGGGAGCTAGAATTTCAAATTAAACGCCGTGGAAAATGAAGTACGTGGAAACAATACCAATAATAATGTCATCTACAGGGGTGATACCAAGAAGGCTGCTAAAACATCAAAGCGCTGGAACTGAGTGAAAACATTTACAAAATCATACAGAAAGGAGTTTTGCTGGCAACTGCCCGCATAGTAAGAAAATTTATGGGAAATGCAAGTACCTAGGGAGGTCACTATTGAGGCTTACCCCTTGATGCTTGAAACGTCCGGGTTAAGCCAGAACACCCCGATTAACGGGAGTAACAAAGCCCTACGGCTATAAAGATAATAATAATAATTATAATACTAATAATAATAATATTATAATAATAATAAAAATAATTATTATTATAATAGTAATAATTACAATAATTATATAATAATGATAATCATAATTATACTATAATAATAATAGTAATAATAATTATAATAATAGTAATAATTATAAAAATAAATTACAATAATTATTATGATAATTATAATTATAATAATTATAATAGTAATAATAATATTATAATAATATAAAAATTTTATAATTATAATAATAATGATAATAATGACTCTGCTAATATTAGTTGATGAAGGACAGACGATCAAATCACTAGAACATGGCGGAGTGTACAAGTACCTGGGAATTAAAGAAGGCCCACACATCACCCACGATTCACTGAAGTTGATATTAGACATGAGTAATAACGAGAGTACGTAAAATTCTGCAAACTCAACTCACGTCTAGAAACAAGATAACAGCAATTGGAGCTCTTGCCATACCAATCATGCAGTACAGCTTTGGTATAATCAATTGGACATTGGATGACATAAGACAAATGGATCGCAAAACAAGAAAACTAATGACAACACATAATATCCTTCATCCAAAGCAGACATCGATAGATTATACGTGCCACGAAAGAAAGGGGGACGAGGACTAAAGCAATAGAAGAAACGTACAACAATACTATCTTCTCAGTAGGGCAGTATATTCAAACCAGATCTAAGCAAGACCGCCTACTACAGATGTTACTAGCACATGACAATAGGAAACCAACAAATAGTCTATTATAAAGCGTAGTAATAAGATCAATTAGAAGCTGCGGAAACGGACATACGGTCGAGCGAGGTGGTAACAGGTCCATCAAACTGTACCTGAAGCAATGTGTCGAAGAGAAATGGCGGAGTAAGCCTCTACACGGACAGCATATCCGTCAAATGGAGGAGCTTCCGGTTGACTTAAGACTGTCATTTGGATGGTTTACAATACGGAGATTTAAAAGGGGAAACCGAAAGCTTGCTGGTGGCAGCACAAGACCAAGCCTTGAAACGCGTTATATTGAGCAAGCAATACACAGACGAGGAATGACGGTAAATGCAGATTGTGTCACATTCATAATGAAACTGTTGAACATATAATATCTGCATGTCCAATACTAGCGCCAAAAGAATACACTGACAGGCACAATAATGTCTGCGCAGCCATCCACCTAGAAGCGTCTCGCCACCTTGGTTGTCCAATAAAATCGACGAAATGGTATGAGCATCACCCGACAGAATAACACAAAGTGAAGATGGTAGTATCACAATAATGTATGACCATCCCGTTATCACGGATAGAGATAAAATAAAGCAAACAGACCAGATATTGTTATAAAACCACCGAAATGTGCGCTATATAATTGATATATCGGTACCTGCAGATAGACATGTCATACAAAAGGAGGCTGAAAAGCAACTAAAATACAAATCATTACTCATAGAAGTGCAAAGAATGTGGCATACAAAGGCAGTTGTTATTCCCGTAGTGATTGGTTCAACTGGATATGTCACTCGCAACATACTAGATAACCTAAAAGGATACCAGGAGATCATAATTTCTATCAGTTACAGAAGATCGCCTTATTAGGCACATCGCACTAATTAGGAAAGTTATAACATAACCAGCTCTAAAACTACAAAGATCTGTACCCCTCAGGTCCTCGGCGAGGACCCGGTGTAGAGGTCAACCGCCTCCATATAAGATACGCTACTAATAGACAACGGTCCTGTAGCGTGAAAAAAAAAATGAAATAATAATAATGATAATAATAATAATAATTATTATATTATAATACTAAATAATACTAATAATAATAATAGTAATAGTAATAATAATAATAATTATAAAATAATAATTACAATAATTATAATAATAATAATAATAATTATAATAGTAATAATTACATAATTATAATAATAATAATAATCATATAATAATAATAATATAATTACAATAATAATAACAATAATAATAATATAACTCCCGTGTGGAGTTGCTAGTCTCCCTCGGGCGCCTCCCTGTGCGAATTGGGAAACGCTCCAGATATGGAGGGTACGAATAATAATAATTATAAATAATAATTACAATAATTATAATAATAATAATAATAATAATTATCATAATAATAATTAATAATAATTTATATAATAATAATAATTATAAATAATAATTACAATAATTATAATATAATATTAATAATACAATAATTATAATAAAAATAATAATAATAATAATTTGTAATAATAATTATAATAATAATAATAATTACATAATTATAATATATTTAATAATAATATAAGAATAATAATAATAATAATTACATATTATAATTATAATAATATAATAAATAATAAAGGGGTCTGGCCGGTAAGGGGACTGCCGCCAGCAGTTTCAAACCCGCTACCGTAACGACGTAGACGGTACAGCCAGCAACGCAACGTCTGGCCTCGACCAAGTGGTTGAGCTACTGTTATTAACACCGAAGGAAAGTCAGTACGGCCAGCACACCTCCTGTTCATCCAGGCGTGGTTTTTGTCTCTCTTCCACGCCTGAGTTTAACACTTTTAGGTAAACAATTATACCTACCTATCAAAAGAGAACCACAATTACCCAGAAATGGAGAAAAAAACAAAATGAAGCCTCGGAATGTAACGACGTAATCGGGACTCGACGCTATGCGACGAGGTCCGCGTCCGGCAGGGAGCGTAGGGGAAGGTCACCCGGTCGTCATCCAGCGAAAGCCCCCCACAGATAGTGTGAGAAGTAACTCGAATGACCCCATCCAACAGCTTCCTGGGGTCGAAGATGGCAATCATGTTGCTGGAAGCCAAGAGCCCCAGCCCATAATGCCAGACAATAGGAGGAGAAAAAGAACCACGTGGACCACTGAAATGAACAGATTGTGGTTCGCTCCTACTACAGAATCACTAAACTAGAAACATCTACAGAGCCCTATGGTACTGAACTACACAAACAAGTTATCATGAACTTCCCTCACCTGCAAGGCAAAACTGTGCAAAACGTACTAGACCAGCGCCGATCCGTATTCATAAACAACAGATTGCCGGCAGAGAATAAACAAAGAGAAGAGATATCCATAGAATTAGGAATGCAGGTACAAGCTCCACAAGAGCACACAGAAAACCAAGAACAAATTGAGAAACGACGGCAACCTCTAAATACGCAGATGAGTTCAGGGGCTTGTTCATGAAGTATGATGGTGTGGAACCAACTCTTAAACCAAGCCTACCAAAGCTAATAATAAAACCCCATACATCTGAGTATATCGCTGAAGTTAACAAAGTAATAGATAACGAGATTACAGAAGATACAACCTTGACTGAGCTCCATAGCCTGTTGTACATTGGAGCACTTACAGTCCTAAAATTAAATGAACAGAGAGTTGGCGAACAATGTGTAAGGAAAAAAAAAAACTGCCAGCCTGGGAGATGAGGATATCGCGTAATATAGAGGAGATTAGAAAGGACATAGCAATACTCACCCAGTACCGCAGGTCTGATGTAGTCTGAGAGTAAAGAGATCCGCAGAGAATGTGATAAACCGTCACTGCTCGGAGGAGAACCCAACAGCCGTAGAAGTCTTGGACTACCTGAAGCAAAAACTAGCAGCTACAGCACTGCGACTTCGAAGGTACAAGAAAAGCAACGAACGCGCGGAAACAAAATCGAGCATTCGAGACCAATCAGCGAGGCTTTTACAGGAACTTGCAGGCGCGACGGAGGATACAGATCAGAACAACGTTCAGATTCCTACCTCAGATGCCATCAATACCTTCTGGTCAGGAATTTGGAGCAATCCAATCAATCATTCCACATCTAAATGGTACCGCCAAGAGAAAGCAAATAATTCAACTTTTAGGACCATGCTCGACTGGAAAGTAAGCTTAGATGACGTGGTAAATACTCTACGAAAATTACCAAACTGGAAAGCCCCAGGATCAGATAAGCTTCAGAATTATTGGCTAAAAACGTTCACTTCGCTCACGATCGACTCGCAAAGTGTTACACCTCAATCTTAGAGCAACCAGATATGTTGCCAGAGTTCTTAACAATGGGAATAACATATTTAATCCCAAAGTGCGGCGATCACTCGAACGATCCGGCAAAATACCGACCAATCACCTGTCTGCCGACTATTTACAAGGTATTGACTGCTATAATTACTGAAAAGATATATTCACACCTAGAGCGGAATACTATACTAGACGAAGAGCAAAAAGGTTGCCGAAAAGGGTCTCGAGGCTGTAAAGAGCAACTTGTTATAGACTCTGTCATAACTAATTATGCCAAAAGAAAAAAATACCCCTGTACATTGCATACATCGATTATCAGAAAGCGTTTGACAGTATACCTCACTCTTGGCTGTTAGAGGTGCTTGACCTTTATGGGATCGAGTGCCACATCAAACAATTTCTGGCACATGCTATGGCGAATTGGAAGACACGGCTCTATCTCAACACCCAAGATACGCAATTAGTGCCGGAGAGGTATCCATCAAGAGAGGAATATTTCAAGGAGACTCTTTAAGTCCGCTATGGTTCTGCTTAGCGCTTAGACCGTTAACAACAATGCTAAATAGCCAAAAGAAAGGAATACTGTTAGGTGGCAATGAAACACGCATTTCACATCTTTGGTACATGGATGACCTCAAACTTTTGCAGAAACCAAAGAACATCTTCATAAGCTTCTGGACTGTGTAAGTAAATTCAGCACTGACATCAAGATGCTGTTTGGCTTAGACAAGTGCAAGATCAGTTGCATGGTAAAAGGCCAATGGAGTAAACATTCAGGATATGAGCCGAACCAAGTGCAAGGGAAAATTGAAGGAATGCAGCAAGATGACAGTATAAATACTTAGGCTATCTACAAGCGCCGGGCATAGACCAGAAAGCTGCAAAAAAAAGGCAATGGAGCACTATAGAACACGTTTGAGGGCGGTGCTGAAAACAAGTTGTCAGCTCGTAATACAGCACTTGCTGTCAGCACCTACGCTACTTCGGTCCTTACCTATACGTTTGGCATACTGAACTGGACGGATACAGAACTGAACGCACTTAATGTGGAAACCAGAAAAGAATTCCGTAAACACCGGGGACACCACCCACATAGTTCCATAGAGCGGTTCCATCTACCACGAAGTGAGGGTGGCAGAGGAATACCTTGCATACCTACACTACATCACCGCCAAGTGGACAATCTACGCCAGTACTTCCTCCAAAAAGCCACATCCAGCAGAATGCATCAAGCAAAACACAGACGGATAAAAAGTTGACACCACTAAACCTTTCAGAAAATCTTTCGACCCTGAGGCAAAGATAACCCCAATGCAGGATCTGGTTCGCCAATGGAAAGCCCAAACCACAACGCCATTGACACAAAGGCTTCCCAAGGATGGTTGCAGTCAGGTAATCTGTTCCTGGAGACGGAGGGCTTCATAGCCTCCATCCAGGATCAGGTAGTCCCAACAAAGTTGTACCGAAAGCGTATAATGCATGAGAACGTTGACGATATCAGATGCCGCATATGTGGGGAAAAAGATGAGCACATAGATCATATTGTAGCAGGCTGCTCTCCCTTAGCTCCTAAACAATATCTTGAAAGACACAATGATGTGGCCAAAATACTTTATCAAGCTTTGGCTAAAAAACATCTAGGAGAAACTGGTACACGCCCTACTATAAATACACGCCGCCACCTGTGATAGAAACGGAGACCTCTAGGCTGTACTGGAATCGCAAAATCATAACTGACAGGCCCATCCCCAACAATATTCCTGACATAGTGCTCACACTAAAAGAAGAAAGAACGACGTTTATAATAGACATAGCTGTGCCTCTTCCTACTAATATCCAAACCACCCATGCGGAAAAATCAATAAGTATTTGCCACTCTCCGACGAAATCAAACGCATGTGGGAAATGGGCAATGTGTCTGTAATACCAGTTATAATAGGAGCTACTGGAGAGATACCAAGGAAACTACACAAGAGTCTGGAAAAGCTACAGCTCCATCCAAAAATATACTTGCAGTTGCAGCAAGCTGCACTCTGGGAACATGTAGGACAGTACGTCGGGTTTTAGGAGATGAGAACCGGATACGGTGAAAAAACCGCTGCAGATCTATTTCCTTACTTTGGCGGTAGCCTGAGGGAAATATTAATACCTTCGACAGAGAGAGTAAAATAGTATAAAATAAAATAATAATATTATAGTATAATAATAAAAATAATAATAATAATAACAAAATAAATAATAAAATAATAATAATAATAGTAAATGTAATATAATAAGAAATAATAATAAAATAATAATAATAATAATTATAATAGTAATTAC